GTAGGGTCTGTTCCATTCTTCTCTTAGTCACCACGCTCAACGGATTTTTCTGGGCTTTGGCTCGTTGGAGAGCTACCCCTTTCTTGGATGAATAGAAGTGTAGACCAAGAAATTTACCGTTACTTGGGTCCTTCCAACAAATCTTGAGAGGGTTGACTGGGAGGTCCCTCAGGCTTTTATTGCCTGCTAGCCGCTGAACTTTCCGATCTGAATGAGGAGACGGTGATTGGGCTTGTGGTTGGACTTTGGCCTGTGCACGCTGATCCTGTTCCACAACTACAACTTCGTTAAGGTCAGATACTGCAGTGACTTCCTTGATTCCTTGGAAGGAAAGCATGTGAGTGAAGGTGGTGGTAGGGGTCTCCTTCCATTCCTCTACCTCGTGTGCCACAGCTGAGGTGGGGCCCAAATATTTCCAGATTACTGGGAGGCCCAATGCTAGTCGAACGCTCGAAATCTTTCGAGAGTCTAAAAGGAAGGACATCAACAGTCAAACCACGGGGCTGCGCGCCCGTGCCCTCACGATAAGTGAATATAAAACGCAACCCTACTGGTTGCCAACGCGGACATCCGGTTGTCGGAAACCGGCCTCCCTCCCCACGGAAGAGCCCACCACCCACCTTCCATTTCAGGAAATTGTGCATATTGCATATTCTTTCCTTTTTCGGTAGACTACACTGGCGCCTACACCGCCTATTCGGACCGGAGCGGTGTCCCCCTGTCCTCCGGACTGGAGTGGTGCCCCCGTCCTCCAGAGCGGAGTGGTGTCCCCCTGTCCTCCAAAGGACCGTGCATGGTGAGAATCTTGATGGGTGTTGGAGCCGGCACAGCGCCACGCGGCGCCAACAACCGGCAGAGGTGGTCCAGATTGTGTGTTCAGAGTTTTGTAATAGATGGGGCCATTGGGCCGGTAAAGCCGCGCGGCGCCGTTCCGGTACGGCGCTCAGCCAATTTTACGCTCGGCCGAACCTAGGGCCCATACAGCGCCACGCGGTGCACGGCCAATTTTTAGGCCGGTATCCCTCGCCGGAACCTCGGTGGGCAGTCTTGGGGAAGAGCACAGGCCGCGGCCGCGCCCGCGCGGAGGTGAGGGAGGGCCCCTACGGTAGCAACCTTTTCAAAAATTGTGGGCCAGCGTCGCTGGAAAACGACTGCCCCCACACTTCGTGTCTAGCTACTGAAGTCGATCGACTTCGCTCCTCTGTTGTACAAGACTGTGCTATACTCGTGGTCATGGTTTATGTAGTTGCTCTGTTCCTCCACTCGCGGTGGACACATACCTGATGAGTCGGTGTACCTGATGAGTCGGTGAAGGTCCGACGAAGTGTCCGACACAGTCGTGCTTTTCTTTGTGCAGTTGTGTATAGCGAACATGACAGCACACACAAGGCACACACTCAATCCCCTGACGAGTCGGTGAAGTCCGACGAAACAGTCTGGCACAGTCGTGCTTTTTATAGCGACATGACAACACACAACACACAATACACATACACGCACAAACGCACAAACGCGATGGTGGACTGTGCACTACTTTGTGGTGTGATGGTCACACATCTTCACGCACACACAAACACACTAACCTAGAACGCACGGCCACGCACCCGAACACACACTACATTTTGGGGTGAATTTGTCGTCGCTAAGCTCTTTTTACGTGCCGGAGGTTGGGCTGTGCGTCTTGAAGGTTCGACGCTGCTTGGGCTCTGCTCTGCATCGTGAAGGTTGGAAGCTGACTGACGCTCGGGTTGTGCATTGCATGGAGCTTTCAGACGACCACTCCACGATGACCGAAGGTGAGGAAACCCTCCGTTTTTTTCTCGTTTCCGTTGCTTTTCTGCTTCTTTGGTTTGTATGCTGTCTCTCTTGATCGTCCGATCGACCAACGTGGCAAGTCCGGCACACACACACACACACACACACACACACAGACACACACACACACACACACACACACACACACAGAGAGAGAGAGAGAGAGAGAGAGAGAGAGAGAGAGAG